CACGCAGAATTCGGGTGAAACTGAATACGTTGTACCAAAAAGCCCTGAGACAAGGAAGAGACAACGCTTTCTGGGCTCATCGTGTCACGTTGGGCCAGTGAGCGGGACAGGCAGCCGTCAAAGATTTGCCCAGAAAACTCTGAATCTCGCTCGCAGTTAGATACTTCCACCGCTGCCTTTTCAAGTCACGGGTGGTGTCCGGTGCCTGGCCACGGAACAGCAAGCCCAGCATGCCAAGTGGCATATCCTTCTTCGGGCAGTCGCTGCCTAGTTTGGCTTGCATGCCCCTCACCACCCAATCGGCCGTTGCATCCTGTTGATAAACCCACATGGCGTCAACCATTTCCGTTTTTGCATAATTGGGCGACAGCACCGCTATGTAGGGGTATGTTTCGATCAGCTGCTCCTTCCACCAGGCCAGTATGACTTCTGGGTTGGTAGAATTCTCCTGCGGCACCTTTCTCACATATACAGCGGCGGGCCGAGCGTTTTCTGGCAGTCCCAGCAGCTCGTGGGGCTTGCTGTACATGGCTTCATGGCATCGAAGGCACAGAGCGACCAGAACAGCGGTCTCCCAGTCCTGGCCGCTTTCAACCTTTGCCGACCAGCGCGGGATTTCGTCGATCCATTCCCCAACCTGCTTCCATTTCAGGTGGCAGCACATCCGTCCCACGTAGGCGAGAATCCACCGGATCTGGTTCTGGGCTGGGGATTCGGTGAGGGCATCGAAGGCACGCACTGGATCGTCGTCTGGACCCCGCCTGCCAGTGAAGAACTCTGACAGGAAAGACTCTGCCAGGATTGGGAGCTCCTCCGATTTTGGAAGACGTGCGAGAGCCCGGAACCGCCCGTCAATGTCGAAGACCTGCGTCTTGACCGAGAAGATCAGGGCTGGGACGTAGCCTAAGTAGACGGCCTCCAACGGTGTCAAGGCATCACAGGCTGGATGCATGGCCCTTAGCTGCTCCATGTCCGCGCACCTGGGCATGGGTATGGTTTCTGCCTCACGAGAGCTCCCCGCGCCATTGCCCAAGACCTGGTCGAGGCCAGTGCTGGTGGGGATGTGCGTGCTGAAGACAAGGTGTCGTCCAGCAGGGTCAAGGAACGTCTCCCGCAGGAACATCCCCACATCTTGGTAGTTATCTGCTTGATTGGGTTTGAGCAAGACGTTTAGCTCGTCCACGAGCAGGACGACGTCCTTCTTGTCCTCCAGATATTCCTTCAAGGCTTCCTTGCTGCAGCGCACCCGCTCGGCCTCTTCCCTGTTCGCGGGCTTGTTCTTCATCAGGGCAACAGCGATGGCCCGTAGCATTGTGTGTAGTGGCTTCTCGTCATCGAGCCTGTGGATGAGCGAGTCCCCATTGAAGCTGATGAAGATGGGTTGTGTTTTGGTCGCTTTCAGCTTGTCAAAGACCTTGTAGAGCATTGTCGTCTTGCCACCACGCATGCATCGGGAGAGCATTGCTGGAGGGACTCTCACAGTCGTTCCTTCTGTTTCCTTCGGCAAGTGCTTCATGACAACATTGACGCAATTCTCCACGCGGACATCGAGATCCACAAATTTGTCAGGCTGCACTTTGATGTCGGGCCGAGCGCATGCATAAAGGTCGAAGTCCTCGGCTGTGACCTTCTCAATGACCTCGAAAAGGACGACAGAAGGGCAAAGAGAAGATATCGAACTGGAAGAAATTGAACATGGCAAACCAGCGCTCGAATAGAAAGCAATTGAAAGGCACAAAACCATTCATCACAGAGCAGGGAACGCTGACAACAAGACAAAACCATTCAGGAGAAATAGCACATCAGGATGGATACTAAGCTGGGGATGCTTGGCAAGTTCAAATGTCGGTTCCGACGGAGCATCCTCCTTTAAATCAAACTAGCAGCACCGTGCTCTTGCAGGCTTGAAAGGACAAAAATCAAAGCACGCATAACATAAAAATACATATCGGGATGAAGGCAAAAAAGGAGTTGCCACCCGTTTGCAGGGCTCCACACGGAGTTCAACCACGTCCGCAACAATGCTGTTAACGTACTCTGTGGATGCGATGAGGGCAGCCTTCTCCACTAAAAGCATGTTCAGCTAGGGGAAACAATGAAACAGGGACAACACGGAGCAAACGTGACACATCAGCCGAAACAAAACACCGTACAATCGAGCAGGAAACCATCCGTTCATGCGGCTCCACACCGAGTCTGCCAACAATGCACAATGCAGCCAGCTGAACAGGACGCGCTGCAATCTGCGCAAACGCAATCTGCGCAAGCGCAATGTTGGGATTTCCTGGTTCTGTGGATGTGATCATGGCAGCCTCCCCACAGACAACATCTCCGTAGGGCTGGGGAAAATACATCAATCAAAAGCACACACACACACAAAGACCAACTGCACGTCTCAAAGAATGTCAGCCAGCAGAAGCGAACGACCTCCCCGAATGGCAAGGAAGTGCAACCATCGATTGCCTCCACACTGTTTCGGTTCACGTCTGCCAACAATGCGGCCAAAAGCATTTCCAGGCTGCGGGGGAATTTCAAAACCACACACGACGACCCACTGCACGTCTCAGAACAAAGTCAAGAGCAAACGATTTTCCAGCCGTGCCTCCTGCAACAGCCGGATCTTCTCGTCCAGAAGCTCCGCTGGGCCCCGTGCGACTCCATCTGCCATCAGCTTCTCCAGCGTGAGCCGCAGCAAAGCCTTGCCTGTGACGCCTTGCTGCTGCAGTGTGGTCACCGTTTGCTGGATGAGCTCGTCGTCTGCTTCCAGCCCACCGTCAATCAGCACAGCCTCTGCCCAACTGGACACCTGGGCCTTCTTGAAGCCCTCCACTTCCGCGCGGCCCTTGGCCAGCCACTCCTGCCAGCACCCACCAACAACCGAGCCTGGCGCGTGCAAGCCCCCGGCCTCCGCGTCGCTGTCCTGGCACGATTGCAACCGGCCAAATTTACAACTGCTGATTGGAGCGTCCTGCTGCGGGCTGGCGCGCAAAGCAACTCCGCCACGCCCAGGGTGCCGGCTTGTCACCTCAAGAGGAGCTGAGAATCCAGGCAAAAGAAAACACAGCAACAGCGGGAATCCTGGCGGACCCATTGCAACACACAACACAGAAGCCCCGACTCACACGAAGAGCAGCAGTGCGCACGAACGGACGGCCTCTTCCAAGCCCTTTAGGGCTGCTTTGGCCTGCGTCACAAAGAGTGCCACGAAAACCTCTTGTCACCTTTTGGCACAAGGAAGCAAGCAGTCCTGCCTCTTCCACAAACTCGCGCAGTTTTTGTTGCAACTCGCTTCTCTTCCCTGAAAGGGTCCACTTCCCTGGGTTTATCTTCTGCGCTTTTCCTGAGCTCAAACCCTTCACCGCTCTTGAAAACCCCGACCCATGTGCTGCTCCAGCGGCGCAAGACAGCTTTTATCTTTTCCATCGTGTCGTTGTCCTGTAGCACCTGTTCGGCTTCTGCAATCGCCTGAGCGAGGCCAAGCTGGGACCTGTCCTTTCTCTGAAGGCCTGCCGCCACCTCGAGATGGAGCCGGTCCTGGCAGCCAAGAAGCCCAGCGTTCTGATGCACATGTCCCCCAGGCCTCGGCATTGTTGTCCTGGCAACTGCAATCGTCCAAACTTGCAAGCTTTGGGTCCGAAGGTCCTCTCGTGCAGCCCTGGCACGCAAGGCGACTCCAGCATGCAACCAGCGCTGGCTCGATGCCTCACTAAGCTCGCAGGATGCGAAAAGGGTCAATCTGCTTGCGTTAGTGGACAAGTCTGAAGATTGGGCCGGTGCGCCGTTGCGGTCCTCACATCACGGCACAAGCATGAACATTCGCAAAGAGGGACTTCACGGTCCTTCCGACCGGGAACTCCTCGCGAAAACTCGTGGGCGGCGGACAGGGACTCCTGAAGCCCGAACGAGTCAGCTGCCAACCCCTCAACGTTCCCAAGACCCAGGCCGTGCTCGGCCACTGCAATGAGCAACGCCAGCGCATTCCCGAGCTGAGGCACGCACCTTGCAAAACCACACAACAAACAGCGCAGCATATCAGCTTGCGGGCCTTGGCTTTTTATCCTGGCCCTCATCACAGCCATGGCCATTCCTGAACTTCACGGGCCTGCAAGGCCAATCCTACCGCTGGATACGTCGGCAATGTTTGCCCAGTGCCTTCAAGCATTTGATGAGCACTCTTGGGCGGCGGACGACTTCTTGCGTGCCAACATGTCCTTGCTGCTTCGTGTCATGTTGGTCCGCGTGTTCACGACCCTACGCGGCTTGTTTACTAGCACTCTGGTTGCCGCTGGCGCTGCTGGAGCCGTCAAAGACGCCACCTTGCCGATGCCCTCGCACTGGACTGACACTCAAAGCTCCTTTCGCTCCCCGAATGCCCCAAATTGCCTGTACAGTCACAAAGATCAACTATGCTATCTCGCCGCCGGGGGTCAAAAGGTAAGGATCTGCCAATACACTTCAAGAGCATTGTGAACTTCGCATGGAGGCAGACACTGCTGATTTTTACATGGCTGGCATCCTTCATGGAAGAAGAGCGTCTCAAACAACGTCGGCCGGCAGAAGCGAACGACCTCCCCGAATGGCAAGGAAGGTCAACATTCGATTCATGGGCTTCCACACTGATTCGTTTCCCGTCTGCCAACAATGCAGCCAGCTGAAATCTATGAAGACAGGAAGCGCAATTTTGACGCTGTTGCAGCCATTTGGGTCGTTGCTGCTAAAGGCACAGGTCGATCCTAATGTTTTATTTGGATCCAACAGCATGAGCATGGGGGAGATTGCTAAAGTGCGCACAATGTATTTCTGCTGCCTGCAGACTTTGTGTTGAGGAGTGCCGTTGGTCGTTGTGCGGGCTGTTGATTTCCCCCGCAGCCCGGAAATGCTTTCAGTGGGACTGCCCTGATCACATCCACAGAACCAGGAAATCCCAAGATAGCGTTTGTGCTGCCTTCCCTTTCCCCAAGAGGAAGCGCTGCAATCTGGGCAAATGCAATCTTGGGATTTCCTGGTTTTGTGGATGCGCTTAGGGCAGCCCCACTAAAAGCACGCCGGGCGGTCGGGGAAATTCAAACCCCTCAACGTTCCCAAGACCCAGGCCGAGCTCGGCCACTGCAATGAGCAACGCCAGCGTAACTGCTGATTAAAGCGTCCTGCGCCACGCCAAAGGTGCCAGCGTGTCACCTCAAGAGCTGAAAATCCAGGCAGAAAAACATCACAGCAAAACCGAGATCTGGACCTGTGGCCCGAGAGAATCCTGGCGGCAACACACAAAAAACAGCCAAGATGCCAGCAATCTAGTGTCCTCCTTCTTTGCCTCCTGGACCTCCTTCTTCGCCTCCTGGACCTCCTTCTTCGCCCTCTCCACCTTCCTTTGCGCCTTCTCCACCTCCTTCTTCGCCTCCTGGACCTCCTTCTTCGCCCTCTCCACCTTCCTCTCCGCCGCCTGCACCTTTTTCGCATCGCCCGATTCCTCCGCCCGAGCGAGACGCCTCACCGCCATTGCTTCCTGCTCCTGGGCTGTCGCGACCTGCTCCTGGGCTGTCGCGACCTGCGCCTGGGCCGTCTTGACCTGCGCCTGGGCCGTCTCTTGCTCCTCCAGAGCAAATTGCAGCTGCTGCCGCGCCAGGAGCAGATCCTGCCCAGCAAGACTCACACGCCGAAGCAGCGCGAACAAAGAAACGGCCTTCTCCAAGGCCCTTTTGGCTGCTTTGGCGGAAAAAGAAAATGCCGCGAAATGTGGATCTCACCTTTAGGCAAAGGAAGCAAACAGCCCTGCCTCTTCCACGAACTCGGCCCGCATTCTCTGGTCCGCCGCCTCCTCGAGATCGCGCCGGTCCTGACAACCAACAAGCCCAACGTTCAAGCCCGATGCACGTGTCCCCCAGGCCTGGCCACTGTTGTCCTGGCGGCAAACGGCAAAAGATGCGAACAGGCTTCGGGTCGGAGGAGTCCTCTTGCGCAGCCCCGGCGCGCCGAGCGACTCCGGCATGCAACGGGTGCCGTTTTGCCTGAAAGAGCCAAAGTGCAATCTGCTTGCGCCTGCGGGCAACTCTGAGAACTGGGCCAACATGCTGTCCTGGCACTCAGCACGAAACAAGAACATCCAAAGGAGGGACTTCATGCTCCTTCAGCCCAGGAACTCCTCGAGCAAAGTCCTGGGCGGCGACAAGGGACTCCTGAAACCCGAAAAACTTCGGGAAAAAATGTGTCCCAAGACCCAGGCCGTGCTCGGCTGCACGAGCAGCGCCAATGCGATCATCCCGAGAAGGCAGAGGCACATACCTGGCCGCTGCCCACCGCGGGCACGGTAGCGTCACAAGCTTGCCAGCCTCGGCTTTTGGTCCTGGTCCGCATCATCGCCATGGCTATTCGAAAAGCGCTTGAGCGGCCTGCGATTCCTCAAGCACTGGCACTAGACCCATCGGGCAACCATTGCGAGCTGTTGTTGTGTCAGTGTTGATGAGTACCCTCGAGCCAAGTTTCCAGAGCAAACGCAAGATTGACTGGCTTCTTTGGCAACACCAACGCACGGGTTTGGATGCTCCTCCTCCTTTTCACTCGCGGCCTGAAGGTCGGTCGGGCCAAGCCTTGCAAGGCTTTGCAGCGTCCATCCGTCAGACTGGCTGACCCACATCCTGCCGCTGCATCAAAGTCCAAGCGAGATACCAAACTGGCCTGCCTGCAAAACAAGCAGCCGAAATCGGCACCGGGCCGCCAGGGCTGAAGGGCGGGGGTTTCTGGGGTTTCTGATCACTGCCTAGGCCCTAAGCTCCCTAAGGTCCCTAGTCCCTAGAGTCCCTGGGGTCCCTGCACACGTGTGCATCAGACGTCTCGCCAAGGCCCCAGAGTGCGCTCTCAACGCACGGCGGGTTCAGGGACCTTGGGGACCTTAGGGACCTTAGGGACCTTAGGGACCTTAGGGACCCTAGCAACCCTACAAACCCCACCCTAGGGACCCTAGGGACTCCGAGGACTTCAGGGACCCAGCGACCCAGGGACTTCAAGAGATCCTTGGTGGCCCCAAGGATTTTGGGGCTTGAAGGGATCTTGGCAAGAACTTCACGCCGGGTACCACTCAGCCTGGGCATTCTCCAGCATCATAGGGTCATGCAAAAACACAAAATGCCGAAGCCAAGACACACACACACACACACATTGCAAATGGGCCACAACACCACAACATCATCTCCCAACTACAAACACGGATGTAGAAAACACCATGTAGAGACATACCAACATAAAGGCACAAAGACATAAAGATATAAAGATATAAAGAGAAAGGTATAAAGATACAAAGATATAAAGATATGAATTTGTAGAAATACAAAGATATAAATTTATGAAAATTAATAAAGAGATACAAATACGTAGAGATATGAAGATATAAATGTATGAAAATAAATAGATATGAGTACACGAAGATAAATAGATGTATGAAAAGTTGCTCGAATGGAAAAACAACAGAAGCTGTGCCCTTCCGCGCGTCTTTGTGTCCCCTTGCGTGGCAAGCTGCAACCAACCGAAGCTTGAGAGATGACTTCACACTTCACAGGATCTCTTGCCCCCAAGACCCAGGGTCCCTGTGGTCCTAAGGTCCCTGGGGTCCCTAAGGTTTTTGGGGTCCCTAAGCTCCCCGGGGTCCCTAAACTCCCTTAGGGTCCCTAAGGTCCCTGAACACGCCGTGTGTTGACAAGGATGGATGCACTTTGGGTCCTGGCCAGACGTCTTGATGGAAGGTCATGGCACCTGCAGCGGACGCACTCGTGCCCAGGGACCCACGGACCCCAGGGACGGGACCCCAAAGATTCCAGGGACCTTCGGGACGGACTGTCAGGGCCTCACTGGGTCAAAGATCAAGGGGGCTGACAGATTGGTGACAAAGATCAAATGACAATAACCTGCACGGGACCTCTTGGCCATGACAATGGAACGCGGCGAGGGCCCGGGCGGAACGTGGAGCTTGAGGTGACAGTACGCCTTGACGGGGTTGGGGCAATCGCTCTCAAGGTCAAGGGTTCACCAGGTTGGAGAGACAATACAAAATGCGGGCCTGGCTCAACGAGGTCACGATTTCCAAAGATACACGGGCCTGACGGCGCGGCTTGACGGGGTTGGGAAAAGCACACAAAAAAACAACGCAAACCACTCGGGCCTCACCGGGTTAAAGAGATCAAGGTTGGGCCCAACCCTGAAAGCTCAGTTGAAATCCGCGCATCAACACTGACGGCGCAATCAGCAAAAAGGCCCAGGCAGAACGTCTTCGAGTCGCGCAAATCCTGGCACAGGACGGGGGGGGGTGTCCGGGCCTCGCTAGGCCAAAGATCAGGGGGCCTGACAGATTGGCAAGTTGGGACCCAAACCTCAAAGATCAGTTGGCATTGATTGCCATGACAACGGAAGCAGCGAAGGCCCGGGCAGTATGCCTCGATGTCAAAACAAAGCCTGGCACGGGGAAGCGCGAAAACACGACCTTCAAAATCCAGGACCAAACCTGAAACACTGCTCAAAGGCCGAGTTGACACCAATCCGCACAGGTGCCCAGCCAAAGAGTCCCCAGTAGCACGAATTGGATCCACCTGCACGCGGCCAACAAAAAGTGACAAAAAGGCAACTCGCGGCGCTGCGAGAATATCTGCACGTCGAAGTCTGGGCACAGGGCACGTGAAGTCAAGAAAAACTGTGAGTCAAGGCTCACGTGCTTGGGGAAGCTCTTTCCAAACACGACCGACAACGTGAAAATCGTGAGAAAAACGCAACACCGGCAACCTGTCATGCAAAATCACGCTCAGAAACCATGCAAAACTGAATTTACGCAAAAACAGACAAAAACGTGTTTTTGTCCGGAAATGGCGGCCCTCGAGCCGACCATTTTGTTGTCCGCCCTATAGGAAAGGGACCGGCAAGCAAGAGTCAAGATAAGATGATTTCCATCGCCACTAGCGTCGCCCTGGGCGAGGTGCAGACGAGCCCCAAGGTCTGGCAGTCTGCGTGGACTCACGTCCTCTGGGAGCCCAGCAGCTTCGGCGAGGCCCAGGCAGAACGCCTTCCTTGCAATGGAAAGGGATTCCGAGGCCTGGGCGGCCTGGGAGGAATTCGAGAAGAGGTGCGTTAACGAGCTGTCTTCGCGGTCGAGCCACATTTGGGGCGACTACGGCGATGTGAAGGACAGGTCGACCTTCCTGAAGTGCAAACTGGACGCGCGGAACGTCCGCTTCTGAGACACCAACGGCAGCAAGATCCAAAGGCCCGAGGCTGGCGGGCTGCGTGCCAGGCCCGCGTCGAGGCCTGGCAGGTCTGGATCATGGGCAAGCAATGCGGCCTGGTGGAGGTCCGCGACCTGCAGGTGAACCCCCCGGCACGGGCGGGGACTCTTGCCCCTTCTAAAACTGCGTTCTTTTTATCGTGGATGTCAGACGTGAGCGAACGCGCCCGTAACGGCCTCGAGAGAACAGCGTGGCCCCGGGGCACCCAGGGACTTAGGGGGCCTAGCGGACTTAGGGGGCCGGTTCGGCAGCAGGGCGCTCAGCTCCTCGTCCAGCTCGTGCTGGTTGCGCAGCCTCCAGCAGCAGAGGAATTGCTTGACCCAGCGGTGCTGATGAGCCCCACTCTCTCTTTAGAGGGGGGTTTTTTAAATGGATTCTATTCTACCTGAGAGGCTCCTAGCACTCGTCCGTCCAGGAAATGACCTCGTCCTGCGAAGGATTCGAAGTCTAAAACGCTGCGTGCAGGCGTGTGGCTGCAAAATAATGACCCCTAGATATGCGCCGCAATTTGGCTCCAGGTTGCATTTCAAGCGAGCCAACCTTTGCAGGGCTAAGAAAAAAACAAAAAAAAAGAAAACAAGGGGTCCCAAAAAAAGAGGTCCCCGAAAAAAGGGAAAAGGGGTTTCCTTTGGCAAAGCTTGACATCGCTTGAAATGCAACCTGGAGCCAAATTGCGGCGCATATCTAGGGGTCATTATTTTGCAGTCATTTCCTGGACGGACGAGTGCTAGGAGCCTCTCAGGTAGAATAGAATCCATTTTGGAAACCCCCTCTAAAGAGAAGCCGCTGAACCCCCACAGTCCCGCGGCTCCTTGCTATATGTGCTATATGTGCTATATGGCTCTTACACGCCAAGCCGCGGAACCTCCACTCTCCCCCGGGTCCTTGCTATATGTGCTATATGTGCTATATGGCTCTTACATGCCAAGCCGCTGAACCCCCACAGTCTCCAGGCTCCTTGCTATATGTGCTATATGTGCTATATGGCTCTTACACGCCAAGCCGCGGAACCTCCACTCTCCCCCGGGTCCTTGCTATATGTGCTATATGTGCTATATGGCTCTTACATGCCAAGCCGCTGAACCCCCACAGTCTCCAGGCTCCTTGCTATATGTGCTATATGTGCTATATGGCTCTTACATGCCAAGCCGCTGAACCCCCACAGTCTCCGGGCTCCTTGCTATATGTGCTATATGTACTATATGTTATCGAGACGCGCGTTAAAATACACTATATGTGCTACACAATGCATATTTGGTACATGTTGAGATGCTCTGTGTATAGTATACAGCTCTGTTGGTTGGCGTGTAAGACCCATATAGCACATATAGCACATATAGCAAGGAGCCGGGGGAGAGTGGAGGTTCAGTGGCTTGCCTTGTGAGACCCATATAGCACATATAGCACATATAGCAAGGAGCCGGGGGAGAGTGGAGGTTCAGTGGCTTGCCTTGTGAGACCCATATAGTACATATAGCACGTATAGCAAGGACCCGGGGGACTGTGAGGGTTCGGCTTGGCAGCGCCGACGTGGCTTCGACACCTAGCGCGCCACATTCCTGCCGCGTCACCTGCCCGGCATAGAAGCCTCCCGGCCGCGCCACACCTGCCCGGCATCGGAGCCCTGCCGTCAATCCTGGTGTGGGCACAGGATTGCCCCCCTCAATCCTGTACTGGGCGCAGGATTGCCTCCCTCAATCCTGGGCTGGGCGCAGGATTGCTCCACCCACTGAATACAGTGTGCGTCGTGTCCAGCGCATTTCTGTGTCATAGGGGACGTGCATTTGCACAAAGATTTCCTCCTGAATTCCCTCAGCGCTGCATGGCAGCGCAAGGACTTGACATGGAGATTCAAGGAGGAGAGCTTGAACATTCATGCGATGAGTACCACGTAGGTTGACACATCGAGCATTGAGACACAGCCTCTGAAACTGGGAGATGTTCTCGGGATCGGGAACCACAACGACAGGCATTCGTGACCCAGAGATAGAGCCATCAAGTTGCCTGAATCGTTCCCAATGTCCAGTGGGAGTCTCAAGCGTGCTGCGCTTGGTTTTTCGCATTCCGAGGTCACTGAGCGATTGAGGCCAGCGGAGAGTGCCTCCAGAGCCGTTAATATCGACCTGATGAGGTCCCTTGGCAAGTAAGTCTTCAGCATATGCACGTGGGACATCAAACCATAATGCTGTGTAGTGATG